AATTCTTGCCAACAACATGGCATGGCTTGGCCAGTAGCTCTCATTGATCTGAATTATTCCTGGCAAATTCTCGTCTCTCCACACCATTTTCTCTACCCTGCGGTCGTGTGGTCCACCTCATTGCCCAATTTCAGGGCGCTATAGCCAAGTGGTTACGGCGACAGATTAGAATATCAAATAATCTGTTCCTCTTTGAGGGCGCAGGTTCAAATCCTGCTGGCGTCGTATCTTCTACCGTTCACTTTTGCAGTTCTAACATTGCAGTAGGGTTTCTTTTCTTAAGTTGCCGCTTGCGTTTCAAGTTTAAACATCACTGACAGTGCCCATTCCACTCAATCGGCTTTGGTCCCCCCCTCACCACCGCCTTGCTCGCACATCTTCCTTGGCCAACCCAGATCGTGCGTTTACGCCACTACTAGGCTCCAGGATCACGCCACATACAGGCGCTATAGCCAAGTGGTTACGGCGACAGATTAGAATGCACTTATATGTCTGGATGCACTTATATATCTGGAGCTTATTATCTGTTCCTCTTTGAGGGCGCAGGTTCAAATCCTGCTGGCGTCGCTTCTGAAACGTTTTGTACGCTTTTTAGATGTTCTAGGGTACTTGACACTAACCATGGACTCCTCTCCTTATCCCCCTGATAGTATCTCCGTATCCATCCCCATCCCCTCCCGGAGCCCAATATCTTTACAACAACTCCACTAGAAGCATCCGCAATGGCTTTCTGCGACATCTTCCGCCCCTACTACGGCTGTAGAGGGTCTATAAATGAATAGTCCACAGGCGCTATAGGTTGACAGATTAGGACCTTCGCGGCAAACGTGGATTCCAAGGGTAGGGAGCGTTTTCGGATACCTCTGCTCTCCGTCAAAACCCCCCCTCGTAGCCCGCTGCGCGAGCCCATCTCACAGGTGGGTGAAGTCACTAATCCGAGCGACGCTCGGCCTCGCTTTGATGTCGTGTCGGAAATGTACGGTGACGTCACACAAATCTCACATTGCACTTCATCCTCAACAACATCATTGTGCAATCCTTAGGTGTGCGTTACGAGCGCTCTCGCACTTAAGGTGACCCTCTCACATCTGCAATGTAGTTCCATATCCCGGCAACATAACGTCGCTCCCATTAAATTGGCAAAGGTACTACAAACCTACAGTGAGACAGCCAGTAACTTCAGCTCGAGCTCCCTTTTTCATGGATATCTTTCTCCTATTGCATTGCATTGTTTTGTTGTCATTAGTGTAAGATTGTCCTTTTCTCTGCTCG